ACTTAAATTGCTACACCAATAAACAGGGATGTACTGCTGCTAGGGACAACTGTGGTCTGATTGCCTTGGTGCTGCATGGAGCCCCTTGGACCTGAAGTGCCTCAGTTACTTTATCAGGAACCAGTGCTGCCCACGTTTGGGGCCAGCCCAGGACTGAAGCTGTGGCTGCAGCCCTGGGAACGTGCTGCACAGGCACCGGAGTTGCTGTGCCATAATCTAGGCCTCAGCTCTGCTTGTTAGAGAAGATTTTCAGAGGTAAATGAGTGACAGGTGTGGTTTTGTTTAATAAACTTAAGTTTTCCATAATGAGATTATGTATTCTCTGCGTTGTGGTAATTTGTGCTTTAAGTCTATATGCAATTAACTGTTAAATGCAGCACGCACTTAAGGGAATGCTTGCAAGTGTGACTGTCTAGGCTAAATGTATATGTCAAACTTTGAGGCTCTAAAGCTGGTGCTGCAGCACATAGTATCTGTGAGCATGCCAGTTTGAATATACAAATCAAGCATTATTTGTAATTTATTGGCTCCTACTTTTCAGTTTTAAACTGATCTTACACTTCTTTATAACTATTAATTTATAAATCAATGGATATCTGTAGAAAGAAATAGAAAAATATTATAAAATTGGACTAATGTAGTAAATTCTTTTTATCAAGATGTCATCATCTGCTGCCCTGGAGACCTCACCAGACTAACTAAATTTCTGTGGTGTTCTCTAGGCTCACATAACACACAATCTTTTTGATACATATGGTTTATAGTTATCCTATAGCTGATGAGACACTACTGTACTTACTCTAGAGTACAGTTCCAGAAGACTGTTCTGCCGTATCTCTCTTAAAAAAAATATATTAGCTGGTAAAGCACATATTTCTGGCTCCTAGCCTTAGTTTCTAACTGATTTTTGTAGCTCTCTTTTAAAATTACTTCATGCCTGTGAAAGCATGGAGGGGAAGTATGGAGGAGGTAGCAGCACCATGTAACAGATAAGCAGCTGGTGTTTCCTGGACCACAAATTGAGAATTGTGAATTTATCCTAAAAAGTTTTAAATTAAATCTGTTTTGAAAAAAAATTGTTTAATTCAGCTGCTAAACTAATGTTAATTTCCTCTTATTTTTAGGTAACATATGAAGCTATTAAAATACCCAAGTGGTCTTCTCTTTCAGAGATGCATCCTGTAGACTATTACTCATCTTACACCAAGAATTGCACAGGAAAGTTTACAAAGCAAGAAGTGAGAAACATTAGAGCATTTTATTATGCTATGTGTGCGGAGACAGATGCCATGCTGGGTAGGTAATATTCCGTTATACACTGGATTTTCTTGTTCTGATGTTTTTAAGAAAATGCTGATAGGGCTGGTTTTCTGGAAGGAAAAAAAATTCCACAGTTCAGATCTGGGAGTAAGTCACATGGATGTTCCTTCCTCGGTGTATATGGTAAATAACTGGATAGCTTTTAAGGCTATTGCAAGGTGAATTCAGAGCATTCTGAAAAGTAATCACAACCACCAGTGAGAGACCCTGTAAAAGCCTGGTAACTGCAGCAAAACATTGCTTGACCGACGTACGAGAGGAACTAAATACCCTTTGACTAAGTGCTAACAAATAATGGAAACAATTGTGAAGGCGACAGACCGGCAAAGCAAAGCTGGAAGGAAGGATAAATTTTAGGGCACAAGCAGTTTCCCTGGAGATTGATTTCATAGACAGGATGATGGCTATTACACATAAACAGTAAGGTTACCTTTGAAGTCTTCCTTAGCAGCATATTACTGAAAGATAAGAAGAAAAAAAAACCCCAACTAATTAGGCATTCAGAATTCTTCCTAGTTTGCAGTAAGATCTACGTACATAAAAAATATAATGCAAATTGGTCTTCATTTACTGTATTTTATTTCTTAATTTGAAAAGTGACCGTGAAAGAACAGGAAATTCCTTGCATTGTAATATGAAATTCATTAATAAATAAGCTGATCTTTTTAGCAATGTTAGAATGATAAAGTAATTTAAAAGACACAGGATTACTCTTCCACATTTTATGAAAGAGATCAGGAGCCTGACAGTTTTAGGGAATGAAGGTACTGCAAAGCATCTGCACGGGGGTTTAACTTGGTAACGTATTTTAAATTTTTAACTAGTCTGTTCATGCAAGAAGCATCTTACTGTTGTAACGTCAAAGATGCGTGTTTTGCTTCACTACCAACTTTGTTGATCTTGGCCCTGTCTTCATTGCACAAATGTATGTGCAAGGGGCTCCTATGGGGATACAAGCACAGGAAGAAGAGACTTCCACTAGTTATGTGTAAGGTGGATACTGACAGGAGTCCTTCACCCTAAATGTAGTGTCAAGGCTTCTGCTGACCTATTTTATTGCTGTTGAAATAACTATTATTAGTTATGCTAGAAATTAAACCAAAGTGAGGATAGCAAAAGTGCAGCTTGTCCTGTGATATATCCTTGCATTTTGAAATTTTTATGGTGGTTGTTCAGTGCCCTCCACACTGGGAGTCAGAGCCCTGCAACTCACTGATGACTGAACATCATTCTGGGCTGAATGCTTTGGGCTCTGCCTTCTGTGGCAGAGAGAGATGTTTCCAGCCCTCTGTTTAGGATTCCTTAGGGTTTGCATGCTGCTTTGCATGTACAGAAGTGGGAGTGAATATTCTGAAGCTACCCTTTTCTGTATCTTTTTCTTGTTGCAGGTGAGATTATTTCAGCTCTGAGAGATACTGGGCTTCTTAAAAAAACAATCGTTATATTCACTGCAGATCATGGCGAACTTGCTATGGAACACCGGCAGTTCTATAAAATGAGCATGTATGAAGGAAGTTCCCATGTTCCTCTTCTAGTTATGGGACCAGGTGTAAAAGAACAGCAGCAAGTACCAAATGTGGTGTCTCTTGTGGATATATATCCTACTATGCTTGGTGAGTTAAGTCATTTCAAATGAAGATTTTTTTTTCCCCCCAGTTACTATTACTATTATGCATTTGTATTGTAGTCAAAATTATGTCTCTGCTTTGTGAGTCAATGTAGTAACACAACAGGAGATAACGATTTATCTGTGGAGCATACATACGGACTTAATACAAAATGCAAAAAACTGATGTAAAAACTAAATAAAGGAGTTGATGATGTTCCTTATTACTGTTACTGTCTCCAACACAATTACAGTGAATTATTGTATATCTAGGATTATTTTTTTATTTAAAAATGTGATAAAAAACAATCAGATGCATTTTAGAGATGAATAATCCTTGCTAGCCTTCATGCCTAATGGTTTACTATAGAAATTACAGTGTAAAAGCATCCAGAGATTAAACCTGAGAGGATGGCAGCTTCATTAGCTTATCAGAGGAATGTCCTTTGTGAAGGGTCACGTGGAAGAAACATGATAAAGACTTGGTATAAGAAATGTAGAATTGATCTGGACAAGCATAATCAGAAGTGATGACCTTAAAAGGTCCCTTCCAACCCAAAGATTCTGTGATTCTATGATTCTAAGATAATGGATATCCATTCTTAACTTCTTTGGTTATGGAAATACTCATTATGTGGCAGAAAATCAAATTAAAAGGACTGACACCAAATTACTTGCACACAGATGGAAATTACTTTTAAGAGTGAATTTCTGAACAGTTACCTGTGATAAAGCATGCAAGAGATGAATTTCACTGAAACTAAATATTAGGTGAAGTCACAGTTCTCAGCTTTATCTGGCATCTTTTAGGCTACCAATGAGAAAGATATTATTTTCAAGGCAGTCTGCAAAGCTCACTCTTTAAGACATGTCATGTATACACTGCAGTTGCCTGAGAGAACATAGGGCAGTAGATAAAACTGTACTTCTATCAGTAAGCCGGTGAAAAATACTTTTCTATATTGTTGTAAGTTGATTTTCTAAAAACAGAACCAAAGATATTTATTTGCCTTTCTCTTCTCAAAACTTTTGAACCAGTTATCCAGTTGAAAATCAAATATAATCCAAATAGCTTTCTCTTCCGAATTCAGATACCAAATCTTTTATAAAGTATCCTGTATTAGATATGGTTCTTATGTAAGTTGTGGTATCATATGTAAAGAGTTAAAAATCTCTTTTTTTCTTCTTTGTACCTTTTCTCCACATAACATAATTGGTCAGGCAGTTTAACATCCTTCCATCTTGTTGCTTTCCTCCTTTTTTTCTTCCCAGAACTTTGTGTTTATAAGTCCTTTCCTTCTGTTCTGGCAGTTCTCCTTTTCTGTAATCTGAATGTCAAAAAAGGCACATACGTCAAGATGAATGTGAAACGTGAAGAATCATCTCTGTCATCTATTATCTCTTCAGGCTGCATGCTACTGCTGACTAGTGAGGAAACAGATTTCCTTTTTTTTTTATTTTGTGATAAATACAATCCCTTTGCTTTGCGTTGTCTCAGGGCAATAATCTCTCTTAAGACTCCATCCAAATGCTTTGCTCAATAATTCCTCCTTTACTGACTTTGAGATTAGGCACACCCTATAGCGAGTGTGCTACAGATATTTTGATTCCAGCAGAATCTGTGTGGTATGCATAATTCAGCTAGGAGAGCAACAGCTCTTCCTTTTTGTAACAGGATGTAGCATAAGCTTTCCTCCAGACAGCACTGGCTTTGTTGGTCTGGATGGAAGTACCTTTGGATCTCTGCTGGAAAAGCAGGAGTTACCAAAGGTGCCAGCCTGGACCATTCTTTGCATGTTGAGAATGCAGTTACTGCAATTAATAGCATTACTGGTTTAGGAAGATGGAAGAGGGAGGCCTATATCCATTTTTCATTTGTTCAGATGTAGGATGTATTCGTTCAAGGTTTTAACCCACACACTGGAAGATACTGTGTTTACATGTTACAGGTCTTCCTAGTGCTTAGTCAAATGCTGCCCTTATTTAATAGAGGAAGAACTACAGATTAATAACAGGTATATATGCTGTAGAAACAGGGGAGAAAAAGGGAGATATGTGCTGATGAAGGAACACATCACCTGTGGGCAGTCTGTGTGCAGTGAATATCACCACTCGGCGTAGAACAGAAGATAAAATACTACCACAGTGCTCTGTGAAATGGAAAGTGTTGAATTTTGAATGACTATATGCTATGTTCAGTAGTGTGATTAAAAATAGCAATACCATCATACCCTGTTTTTAGGACACACCAAAGTTTAGGTAACATCCTTGGGATTCTCAGCTATGTTTTTCAGAATGTTTCTGAGAGATCTTTGCAGCCTCTTAATATTGACCTGATCTTTGGGAGCTAGAGCCACTTGTGATATAAGTTGGTACTGAGGAACTTTTTCAGGTTACAGCATGTTGTAGGGGCCATCTAGTAGGCTATAGGGTCATCCAGTGTTTTCCATATGTGCACTGTATTGATACCACCTCTGATACCATCTTCATCTCCATCCCTACCAGAGAAGCAAGTGGCCCTGTTCCTCAGCTTCTGCACCAGTTACAGGCGATAAGCATAATGACCACCTTTCGTAAAGTGTTTTGTAATTCACTGTTGAAGAATGATAGATAGGAGCTTAGCACCATTATTGTGGAAGAAATGAATGGTTAGACCATGTTGGATATGGAGCTTTTAGAGGACTTTCATGCTATGACAATCTCTTTCTCGTGCCTGATGTGATCCAAGCAGAAGGGAGGGTATAAAACCATGATTAAAAAAAATAAAAAAGCACCACTCATCACTGGAGGCTATCGTGATCGATTTTAACAAACATTTGTTAAAGAGTGACTTAGGCATAACTGACACTGCTTCTTATCAAGATTGTGGGCAGCTGACCTTGGAAAGTTCCTTAAGTTTTTTTTTATTATTTGTGTATTTTGGGGTTCTTGTGTTCTACAAGGAGAACAATTAGGAATGTGTGTTTTACTACTGAAGTAGAATTTATGTTCAGACACCTGTAGCATTACATTAGGCTTTTTTAATCCCGGTAACTGCAGTAGCATTTTGACTTTGTATATCTTTGCTTAGATATAGCAAGAATTCCTGTCCTGCAGAATCTCAGTGGATATTCTCTTGTACCACTGCTACGTGGAAGGGCTGAAAACGGAGTGTCACCCAGAGGACCTCGGCCTTCGTGGGTGTTAAGTGAGTTCCATGGATGCAATGTGAATTCTTCCACGTACATGCTTCGAACTGGCAAATGGAAATATATTGCCTACTCAGATGGCCATTCAGTACTTCCACAACTGTTTGGTATGTTACCACCTTTGTGTCTCGTCTCATTAACCTACTTAAATGCAAAGTGGCTCTTAACTAACTTTTTGTTTGTTCCAGACCTTACTGCCGATCCAGATGAGCTAACAAACGTTGCCATAAAATTCCCAGTAATTGTACATTCCTTGGACAAAATACTCCGCTCTATAGTAAACTATCCAAAGGTTTCTTCTTCTGTTCAGGAGTATAACAAAAGACAGTTTATCAGTTGGAAACAAAGTTTGGGTCAGAATTACTCAAATGTTATTGCCAACCTTAGGTGGCATCAAGACTGGTTAAAGGAACCAAAAAAATACGAGAATGCAATTGACAAGTGGCTTAGTCAAAGTAAGTGAATAAAAACAACCTAGATTTTAATATGACTGAGAATATGAAAACGTTCTACATTTGTAATGTTATACTGTATTTCAAGTGTTAGAATTATTGTCTTATATAAGGTATTGAAAGCGAAGATGCCTGAACAATTACTGCTTTGTGTTAGAAAGCCAAGAGCATTGTCTATAACAAGGCAACATAACAAATCTGGATTTTTACATGTTAAAATCCTGTAACACTGAAGTATACATAGGAAGGATAGTGCATAAGTACTAATTGCATGTATGGAATATTTAGCTGGTTGCAAAAACGCAGAGTGTTAAGCATTAGGACTCAACAGGAATTTCCATTTCTAAGGACAGACTAAAGCAAGGATTCTAAATTCTAAAACTTAGTGTAGTGGGATGCCAGCTACAGTGGAATGTTTTCCATCAAGACAGATTTTAAGTCCACAATGAATACACATTCATTGTCCTTAGAGAAGCTACAGCAGTTAAAGTGGAATTAAAAAGTTAACAACTAGTATTGGTCTGAACATAAATGCAGTTCATTCAGGTACTTACTATGTCAGCATTCCTGTTTTTATACATGATTGACTCTCCATCTTTTCAAGATCTGCCTTCTAATCTCTTGCTTTTGGATCTGGTACTTCATCACTCCTTGCTGTTCAAAGTTTCATAATAAGCATAGGCTACTAATTGAACATGTGTGCAAGTAGAGAGGAATCTGGTCTCTGGTCACTGCCAGAAATTTAAAAAATAATAATAATAACAAACCCCTCTGCCAAATCTGTGACTAGAGCAGTTCTCTGAAAAGTGGTGGTGTGATTTGTGTAGCATAAGATGAAAACTACTTGAATAGATAGATCCCCATTATGCAGTTTGATTCTGCAGGTAAATGTTTTAATGTGCGTCAGCAAGTGGAGAACTGGAACCTGCAATGTACACAGAGGAGATGCAATTGAAGCTTGCAGAAAAAGTTAACATAAAAATACTATTTTACGTTTTTCCAGGGATGTGATAAAAGACAAAGCAGTTTTGGAATAAGGTAAGATCTAGCTAGTAACTCTTCTGCGTAAGGAAAAATGTGATTGTAGCAGCACTTACATTTGCTTATTCTTGATCACAGTTTGTAACTGCTATAGTAACAATTCAGGATGACATTATACTTAAATGCTTTCTGGAATGTGTAATGAAATAGTCAGTGGTAGCAGTAAGCTAGTAAAAATAAACATGAAAAATACATGTCTTTTCTGATGGCTAAGCGCTCTACATGGATTTCATAAACTACTTACCACACTTGAATTAGTATTTTAGCTGGTTTATGTTTTTGTGTTCATAGAACATTAAGGATAACTTTATACTACTTATTGCTACAGGTAGCATTTTTTTTCTCTCCCCCCCCCCCGCCCCCCGAACAAATTAATAGTTAAACTTTCAAACACTGTAGCACATGTCATCATGATTCTTGCTAAAATGAGTTCAGATAGTTATGAAATAGTTTCAACAAAAAACATGTCTTGGCAGTGTAATGTAAAATGGCTGCATAAGAAGAGAAAATAAATACATCCACATGAAGGCTCATTTAGCAGGGAAAAGAATAAATAAATTGATCACGTTCCAGAGGTCTGCACAGAATGCAGTACATTGTACAGAACATAGCAAAATAAAATTATGGTGAACTGGATGTGTGTTGTGTATGTGTTTTTTTTAATGACTGAACTTCTAAAGAAATTACTAGAAAATGTCTAAAAAAATTACTATGGAAAACTGTATTTTGTCAGTTCTGTTGACAGTGCTTTCTTCAAAGACACAAGCTTTTAAGATGTACTTCTTTGTAAGCTTACAAAAGTGCATTTTGCGATACTCTCTGAAACGGAAAAACAAACTTCCTCCTGTAATTCCTTGCAACGTCTTGTGTCACCGACTGCCCAAAGAAGCCCAGTGCATGGGAGCAGGTTTCCGGACACTGCAGGAAGCCCCAGGACAGTGCCAGCCCGCAAAGTGGAGCTAGAACGTCAGGAGGTAGGGGTGCTCCCTCACAAGGTGATTCTGTGAGCCAACCAGCAGCAGGCTGCGACCAGATCCTAAGTCAGTATGTCTAGTCCAGTACTTCTTTTTGCATACGGTTGTCTTAAAGCACTTATTTACAAAGAAAACATTGACTTGTTTGCTAAAAGCAAAACTTTTACTTCTGCAAGTTATTTATGCCTTGTGTGTGAGTGAACCTTTGATCTGCAGAGTTAGAAAGAGAGAAGGCCCCTAATGCCTTCCTGCCTCCATTTGCAATAAACAACCTGTGTTGGTACAGAACAGAGCTAATTTAAGTCCAAAACAGATACATTTAACAACGTGGTCATACTCAGTTATGCCAATGCATCTGCATTACTGTAGCACGAATCAAATGAGGTTTGCAGCATGCATGATTGGCCAGCTAACAAAAGAAAAAAAATCTGTTTTTCGATCACACTGAATGAGTTGCAAGGTATTAACACTGAAGAGATGTTGGGGAGTGAAAAGGGAGAAGAAGGAAGCTGGAATGCCAACAGGTTCCAGCATATTTATTTGATGTGGTAGACTCAAAGCAGCCTCATGAGATTTACCTGAGACTACCAAGGGCATTGGCCTGATCAGTTTCTCAACCTTTCTTTTGTCTTCAACTGTTTACAAAGGCAGGAGGTGCACCACTGTCCT